ATACTGATCACAAAATACTGATCATTTGACGAAAAAAATACTGATCATTTCGAATAAAATACTGATCATTTAAATACAAGCCATTAACAATCTCTTTTATTTGAACGGGTGTAGGATGTCTACTGTGACAATCAATTAAGGTCTTTTCTAGTGAATCTATAAAGACTTCTAATCGTTGTTTTGGTAGTATCCAACCATGTTCAACAAAGAGTTTATTAATTTTCCTGACAACCACATCAATCTCATTAGACATACGTTTATGAGCAAGATCAGGGTTATTTGGAATATATTTCGGGCCAAGTTTGAGAAGGGCCACTTCTCTTCTATTCAAGTCTATATTAGCTTGATTTATTATACTTGGAGCACAAAATCCTGTCGTAATACTGTAGCTAATGTTTGTGCTTCTTGTACTACGAAGGGCGTTTCGCGAACGCTTTGTTCGGCTAAAAAAAAAAGTTCTTTTTCGCTTTCTAATAGAGCCCTCTCTTTTGAAATTTCAATGTATTTCAAATATAATTCTGAACCTTTTTTATCTGTCGACTTTTTCTGTTCTTGTGATAACGACGACGATGACGAAGGTGGTTGTGGTGGAAGCACCTTTTGAGTATAAACACCACCCAGACCGTCATCAACATCTTCATTTTGAACATCCGAAGGGTTCACATTATTTCCACCATTCACATTCACTGGCTTAGGAAATGTTGGTGATGAGAGTGGTTCAAGTTTTTCTTCTTCTTCTGCATCTGCTTCTTCTCCTTCTCCTTCTTCTTCGTTGGCATCTCCATCTACTTTATCTTTAGGAAAATTCTCGAGGAGTTTGTCTAATCTTTCGCTTTCATACAAGAACTATTTTGACTTAATTGTAAGATTTTTCTTCGAATTGTTCATATGTATTTAAAATCGATTGATGGACAATGTATGTAATGAAGTTTTTGACGTACTTTGTTTAGGTTTGTATTAAGCAGTTGTGTTTAGATAGATATTAGTGATTCATTGAAAATTATTTTGATTTAAATGAAGATTAAATATCTCTTCTGGTTTAATGGACTTAGATGAGTGCTTAGATAGCATGATGTGTGTAGTTCGAATCTCACGAAGGGATTATCTTCTTCTTCTTTCTGTGATATAATGTAAATGACGTTATCGTTCATATGTACTTTATTTGTTAGAAGTTGCAAAGAAATCGAAGTTGTAGCTTTTTGAACATTGGTTAAAAGATTTTAATTTAGTTGAAACTCAAATATTGTTCAAAAAAGCTCGGATACGAAAAACGGAAAGCAAGACTTTTTTATATACCGTATCGTCAAATTTTATTGCAAAAAGTTTCTAAAAAGAAAAGGACGAACATGTGGTTTAGATAGATCACCCAGTGTTTAACTCTGGGTGGAATCATCGTTATCGGATTCCTCCGTTAATGTGAGCGTATCTATTCGATACGCCTCCGGGCAGTTCTTGTGATGGAAGATCATAGTTGAAGATAATGGAGCTGGTGGTGGTGGATATGATGGTGGTGATGGTTGTTGATTGAGGTGGATGGTGGTGTGCAGTTCTCGAAGCCGATCCCTTCATTCTTTTCTGGACCTGGTCTTTTGGGATCCGGCTCCTGGTGCTGATGGCTGTGGTCTTGCGATTGGATTATGGCGATGAGGTGGTCTCGAAACCATATTCCCCGATGGTACGCCCCTCATGCCAAGCATGTGTCTCCTCGCTCTTCGGATGTTCCCATCCTCGCGAGGTTTCGTGTACTTGACATGAGTGATACCATACCCCGAAGATAATTCTACCTGTCGCCTTTGAGAGAGCAGATAGTCCATGACAGTACCTGCCGGTTGAACACCTCGTGGTCTGTCGGCCACAAAGTAGTCACCCGACGGTACCCACATGGCCTGACCTGTTCTCTCGCAGGCATACAGACAAAAGGCCCCATCCGAGGTGGTATGGGTAAAGGTGGTCCGTCTCCAAATGGCCGCTGGTGGGTCACTAAGGATGGGACCTCTCAGTCCCCTACGTACCTGTTCAGGAGAGAATTCGCCTGAGAAGGGAATTAGGGCTGTTAAAACCGCATCTCCCACTCCTCGGGTGGTCTGTTGACCATCTTCGTTGTTTAATACTGGTGCCGTTGATATGATTTTTGATGGTTGAGTGAAGATCTACAACATTTAGTAAGATTGATTAATGATAAGAAATGGAAAAACACAATGATGACAATGCTAAAAAATGCGGTATATATATAGTGGATTGATTTTTCCAGGTACCTCACATGATAACAGAGGAGATATCATTTCGATAAAGAAATCCAGATAAGAGATATCACATCACAGAAGATGTCTAGATGAAAGATATCAATAGATGTATCATCAAACAAATAACAAGTATTTAGATACCGAAATATTTGTCGAGGTTCGCAAAGCAAAAGAATGCAAAGATATACATAACAACATAATACATGATATCACATAGTTTGCAATTTCAAACCAGGGTAGATGTTAATGTCTTTCTCTAGACTATAAATACCCCATGTATTTCACCATAAAGCATCATTCAAAATCAATCGCATCTTTCAAATAAACAATTCCTTCTCTTTTCAAAGTCGTTTTTGTGATCTCGATCGTACCACTACCTTGTTTTCTTCCATAAAGTTTTTCGATTTCTATCTTCATCATTATATTACCAGTAGAATCCTTCAAATGCTACATAATCATTTATGTAAGTTTTAATTTCTTGTCACATTTTCTCTTCTAGATTCTGATGAAGTCAAGTGATAACTTGACAGAAACCGGTCAATAGGTTTTACAAAATTATTTTCACATTTTTTTTCTTAAATATTTTTATCTTCGAGAGAGTGTAGTTGAGAATAAGGTTATATCTTGAGTACTAGAATAACCAGTTACTCTATTTACATATTAAGTATTTATTTTTTCATTAGTTGTCTAATTCTTTTTTGTCAGAAGACTTGAGTTAGTCCGAGAGTAATTATTTTCAGCAAATACCCCTTTTGAGATAATATACAGCATGCATCGTCAACCAAAACGACAGCAACAACAGCGACAACCATCTGGTAATCATCAACAACAGCAATCATTTGGTTTCCATCAGCAACAGCAACCATATGGTTTTGTTCAACAACCATTTGGTTATGTTCCCAGTAGTACGCCAATGAATTGGCAATATGGTGATAATTGGTCAGGAGGTTACTTGAATGGACAGCAACAGATGTCATTTGTACCACTGCCACCACCACCACCATTCTACTATCCAGTTAATATATCGGAATTGACTGCGGGTCCTTCTAATTCGATTAGAACGAACCAAGTACAATTCCAAGGTCCTTCAAGAAACCCTCGTACACAGAATCGACGTGGTATCTTGAAGAAACCAGGGCAACAAAACAAAAGGAAAGCACCAACACAGCGCAAGCTCGTGCATTTCATGCCCAACAGTTTACAAAAAACTGCTCGAAATACTAATAGTAATACTACTACTACTACTACTACTACCACCAATAATAATAATAATAATAATAATAATAATAATAATAATAAAGCCACTCCTGTGAGTCGTGGGCAATCAGCTACATTGCCAGCTCAGAGTGATGGAGGTAAAAAACAATTAAGTAAGAGGAAATCACCTGAAAAGGCACATCTTGACACACTACGTCGTAGAGAAAGGCGTCAAACGAATCGTGCAGCTTTTCTAGCACAAAATGATGGACTTGGTTGTTTGCAAGATAACCGTTTTGCTTCTCTATCTGATACAGATGTTAGTGATGATAAAACGGATGATGAAAGTTCAGAGGTTGAAGATCTTACCAGACAAAATAAGACTAAAACCATGAATACGGATCAAAACAATAATAATAAAAAGAAACAGAATACATCAACACAAAAAACCGAAGTTATTAGTAAAACAACAACAGATGTTTATAATAATACAGGCCGTGCTGATAGTAGAAAGAACACGCGGGGGAAAAGCCAACGGATAGTTCAAGTATCTGATTCAGATACAGACCATGATTATCTCACCTTGAATGAAGATGAGCACGTACAAGGTAGAAATATCAAAGATAAAGGTAAAAATAAAGTTAAAACTTATTTGCAAAGTTTTAAAGTTATTAAATACCTGAAAGATCAAATTAAAGCTAAACGTGCATTAGCGCTTGAATTTAAAGATGCTTTCAATGAGGTATCTGCCTATACAAAGATTACCCTAGAAGCATGCGATAAATGGGTACGAAACAATTACGAGCTCCAGGTCTGGGAACACCTATATGATTTAGGTATTAACAAAGACCATTGGGCAAAAGAAATTGTAAATTGTACACATACACGGGAGGAGACGAAGAATACTTCTTTTTGTGAAAAGAAAATTGCTCATTTCACATCAGAATGTTTTGATGCTAACCTTATAATTGCACAAAACATGAAAGACTTATCGTCTAACAAGAAAGTCAAATCCGCTCCCACTGTCGCATCTAAGACAACTGATCTACTACTTGACTACGTTAAAGAAGCAACTAAAAACTTGCATAAGACGAATTTAAATCGAATGCGTCGCGCTTCCATCGAAAAAGACGAGTGGGACGCCCTTCAAACATTTGAGCATGCTGCATCTGAACAACAAAAGGTCTATGCTAAAACATATTGGAAGCCAGCACTAAAAGCATATCAAAAAAAGAAAAATAATTTTGATTTAGTAGCGGCACACATACAATATGATATCATACCGAAAATCATGCCACAGTATGACTTTCAATTATCGTTGGATTTAAATTCACTTACACTTGAACAAATTCAACAGAATAAAGAAAACATACATAAGTTGTCTAGAGATTTTCGTCTTCAGGCCACAGAACTCTATCTGAAGATTACTCGAGAAGAATCTGAATTTCAAAACGAAAGATTAGATAAACTTCTTGAGAATTTTCCTAAAGATAAAGTAGATGGAGATGCCAACGAAGAAGAAGAAGAAGAAGAAAAACGTAAACCACCCTTATCACCAACATTTCCTAAGCCAGTGAATATGAATGGTGGAAATAATGTGAACCCTTCGGATGTTCAAAATGAAGATGTTGA